ACATTGCCTTGACATATTGCAGAAATATCTTCTCCGTGTGATGCCTGTAGGAGGCGCCACTGACGTTTCCCTGGAGGATATGAAGAGCAGTTTTTCCACCATGATGAATAGTTGCCCAAACATGTACTGCACCACCTCTTGTGTGTTTCCTGTGGGAAAGACAGTGTTCCGTCATCTGTTCTCCAGACAAACAACGAAAATGAATCCTGCCATCAGCATTAACAAGCTGGAAACAGGACTTATATAAAAATGTAACATGTTGCCAGTGTCTAAACGGTAAGTTGGCCTGCTGTATTGCCTAAGTGACATGGTGACGGCGGTGAATTCTGGTTGATGTCAGTTTGCAGATAGCCCTTCTCGAAAAATAACCTGATTTGGTCAGTTTCCTATTCACTGTTCTTCTGGATACCCTGGAATGAATGTGTTCATGCCATTGCTGTCGTAGGGTATTGCAAGACTTCGTTCGACCTTGACGTGTTAACGTGATCAAAACACGGTCATCTGGTCATCTCGGGCTGTAGTTTTTCAGTAGACTTTCCTCGAACAACGTTTCCTGTATTTCGATGACGTTTCAGGATTCTGTATGCGGTACACTGAGTTTACCCTATTATTCTGGCAATGTCCATTTGCTTCATACCATTTCTGAACAGTCGAACAATTTGACGCCCTATAACTTCTCGCACGTGACAAAGCACTACTCTACACCAATTACAGACAAAATGTCTGAACAAAGATCTCTTTCGAAAAAGATTATATGAAAATCACACCCTTTTATATAAAACAGGTTTGTATGTGTGTTTTGACGAACAAATGCTCAAAACAACTTATATAGACCAGAATAACAACTCGTACATGTTTGTCCAATCATACGCTACCTTCTCTGTTACTGCTCGGGCATTTACTCAATAACTACTCTATGTATGTAGACATTTTGGCCAAGACTGCACAAAGCCTTCATGTCTGTTCACGAGACAGATCGTGAGTTCGCGTGATATGTTTTTGGCTTATTCCGTAGATAATAAAAGTTCCAGCTACTGGGAAGCCAACTATCTTTTTTTTTTTTGCATCATCTCAAGTCACGTCTTCTTAATATTCTAAGATTATAGTTGATTGTCAACAGGTTTATTTTATCACATAAATATATTTTGTGATCAATCATGTTGAAACCTTATGTGACAGGAAAATGTCAATATTATGATCAATTCTACAAGTTTAACAGGAATATATTATTTGGAGTACTTGCATTCAAATACTGGAGTTGTTCAGTTTTGTCGCTATTTTAAACGTTTTAATCTCTAAGAATGCGTATTTCTTTAGCTCTAAATAAGCGTATATTTAATAAAATTCCGTAACTTTTAAAGGTTAGAAATGGCATCCACCCAATCAACAAAAACCTTCATTTGCAGTGCAACAGTGCAAAAAATTGTACCGTCAGTTCTGTATTTACTTAAATTAAAGAAGATATGCTCTGATTGTAAGAACTATGACTGTCACATTAATTCTTTGAAACAGACTATGATTGAAAGAGGTTATAAACAAAACACTATCACCCAACAAGTTGAGAAAGCTAACAATATACCATGTACATCTGTACATTGAAACAATTACCTATAACCAATTCTTCTCGTGTTCTAACGCTATTTACGTAATCCAATGCTGAAAATGCAATTTCCAATATGTAGGGCAAACCAAAATAACCATACGGGAATGTTTTAATAACCACAAATCAACAATCAAACAGACAAAGAACTTCCGGTCGTAAAACACTTTAACATGCCTGGACACTCTTATCAAGTCATGAAACTGACGGGTATAGAGACAAATTTTACATCTAAGAGAAACAAGGAAATTAAAGAAATCCCGGAATTGTTGACCTTTGTATGTCTCTGAAAATATTTTCAAAACTAAAGTTACAATGAAACTTACTTTATATTATTAGTATTATTCATGCTTTAATTTCTCTATATTGGTATTATTTCCTATATAGTGCGTCACATTATAATTCCCCCCCCCCCACTTTTTGTCGTTATTTTATTTTTATTTTATCTTTATAATAATTGGTTACTATTTCTTATAGCTATTATCACGCTTAAGTCTTTTATGTACTATGCATAACTCTTTGGCACAAACTAATCCTGACACCAACAACTCTAAGTTATGATTGGCTAGTTCTCAAGGCTAACTCATAATGAACATTCAGTTTACGTGACGTCGACATCCGTGCCTATATATATTTCATTACACGCATTAAACATAACCCTTTATTCTCCAGTAGAAGAATAGTGGATTATTCGAAAGCGCTCGAGTTTTAGGTCTCGTTTGAAAACCATTACAACTTTTGTATGTGATCCTGTGTGCTAACTCCTTAATCAGAATGCATTTATCCAGATAAAATAGTCTTCCCATTACAATTCTAGTGAAGGGGGATGCAAGTGGGCCGTGAAGAGGTGGTGGTGCTTTGAAACTTTATAAGTGTAGTGAGTGTTGGTATAATAAGCCTAAAGTAAAGACGTAGTGTGAGATATCCTATCCTAGAGCCAAGTGCTTAGAAGTAAAAATATCGATTCAATTTTAAACTTAAATCGTTTCTAAATTAAGCTATTTTCTGTTATATCACCAACGATTTTAATATAAAAAAACCTCTTTAATCAATGGAGACTCTAAATTAAGAAATCAATAAATATTTTTCCAGTTTTGTTGTCTATACATTTCATTTTACACTTTCAGTACATAGACTAACAAAATAATAGGTTATACTTTTGTTGCTAAGCAACATGACATAAAGTTATTGTTCGAACGTAGTGTTACTAAAACGTACTGGCTTTTCTATATATTAGTAGCTGTTAATCTAACTGGTTTTTACCAATAATTATTTTATGAATACGCCACGAATTAATTTCATGAATGATCGTAATTTTGATTGGCTCACAAAAGAATTTACCGACGTTTGACTGCCTCAACTGCAATGCCTCTTTGTTGGTCAAGCTTGATTTCGCAAAATTTATTTATTTCAGTTAGCTATGAAATATGAGGTTAGAGTATACTATGGAGTGGGGGTGGTAGTACTTGCCCTGTCCGTAGTTACATATTATCTTGAAGACATTGAGCTCTAAACAGGGTGATTAGAAAAGAGGAATTCTGGACAACAGTTGGAGCTTATGGATATACTTCTGTTATGAAAAATTGAATAGGGTTAAGTCCACGTAGCCCCCTGCTCCCTCTTCCGGCTGTGCGGTCCGTGACTGAGATAAATAACATTATTTTATCTGTGTCAGATTTTCAGGACGAAACTAGAACTGAAGGTAACAACGGAAATAAAAC